ACAAGAAGCATATGTGAAACATAGTGACCAAGCGTTGGGGAATTAATAGTTATAAAGTGGGAGACCTCATATCAGGATTATCCCCATTTGAGCAGAGAATGCTATAAGTAGATATAATAGAGAGTTTTTAAATTATAGAGCATTGGTAAGATGTCAGAAAGCCCTTAATTTCAAAGTACTGCAAAATATAGAAGGATGGTTAGGAAAACAATCATTGCAACATGGATTCCTGGTTTTTGCCAGATAAAGACTGTATCGCATTTTTTATGAGGTCATTAGATAAATCAGAGAAAGATGCAATGCCACAGGGAGTAAATGAAGCTGAGTAAATTGCTACAACAAAGAACTGAAACTGGCATGATGGGCTGAATGCCTTCCATGAGTACTTTTAACATCTGCAGATCTACTTTTTGTTTCAAATGTGGCAGGCTCCTGATGTAGCACCACATCAAGTGCCAGCCTATTCTGCACTCTTGGACCACAGTATTTCCGTCTGTTCCACGTCTGTCTGATTCTGTGCTCTGCTTCTCTCTTAATATTTAACTTTCTCTTCTCAGCTTGGAAGTGGAGTGAATGGAAATAGCATATGGACTTGGGAATGGATGAGTTACAATCAGCAGCAGGTATGAGCTATGACAGCCTGTTGGAATGAGATTCTGCGAAGGATAATTTCTGCACAGCAAGATCTCATAAACAACATTTGAATGACTGATCAACTAGCCTGTTTTGGCGCTTCTTTTGAGGTAGTTGTGTTGAGCAGGCCACTGGGACAATAGCCTTGATAGTGTAGTCATCTTTAACTTCCAACTGAAATGTAAGAATAGGTAAGATGTGGCTTTGGTTTGACACATGACACTTTGGCAGTACTGCATTGAAGTGTCAACCTTGTTATCTTTTATCAATTTCGGGTATGTCCCTTCAACCATAATATTATAAAGCATAGCTGAGCCTGTTACTAACTGAGTGAAATTGACACGCAGTTAGCAGGACTCCTCTGATGTCCAGTAGATTCACAGGATGTGGACATGTTGCCAATTCCTAATCGTCCTTGAAATGAATGATTTGCTAGGGCCATTTCAGAGGGCAATTAAGAATCAACCACTTTGCTGTATGCCTTGTCTGGAGTCACATGTACGCCAGACCAGGTAAAGACATTAGATTTCTTCCCCTAAAGAACTTTAGTGAACGAGATGGATCTTTGCCATTAAGCCAGCTTTTAATTCAGATTTTTATCCAATTTAAATTTCACTATCTGGCACAGTGAGATTTGAACCCATGTCCCTAGAACATTAGCCTTTGCCTCTGGCTAACTAGTCCAGTTACATAACTGCTCTGCCATTACCTCCCCTCAGTATTAATGACAACTGAAGCATCTACTCGGAACTTGGATTTCTGAGCCCATTCATGTAGGGACACTAGCTCACTGTGCCACATGACTCTGTACTTGGTTTCTAAACAATCTTACCGCCTTTCGTATTGAACAGCTTTTACACCTGTCATTCACAATGCTGTTCCATTGGGAATTACCATCTCAGCACCCTTAACTGCTATGTAGATAAGGGAATTATTTATGTGATCATTGTACAGATCAAAAATACCTCAGATTTTAACACCCATCTCTGCAGAGTTTGTTGAGTTCAATCAAGAATGACCATAAAAGTCCCTCCTACTTTAAGAAGGACATAGTATTACCCTACCATGCCCTCCCTCAGCCCTACATCCCAACTTTTCTCCTTAAAAGAGCCATCTGTCCAATGCACTTCCTTTCTTCCACAGCTGTACATGCAGAGCCTTTCACTGTCTTAGTCTGAGCCCTCTAAAAACATCTTCACCCAATGTGTTTGTTTCCAGTTTTTGGAACTGCTGTCCTAGCAGCTTATATTGGGCCCTCTTGTGGCACAGTAGTAATGACCTAGACCAGGAGGCGCAGAGGTGTGTACTGACATCTCTGAACTAGTTGATTATAAAAAAAATGACTTTAATAAAGTTCCAGCAGTTTATATTTTACTATTGCAGGGGTGCCAGCATGCAAGCAAACAAATCACCACAATGGGGCACTGGAGCTCTACATGAGGTCTGGCTCCAAGACTGAACTCCTACAGTTGATTAACTTTCTGAGAGTCTCAGTAAACAGTTGAGTTACCATTCTCTGTATTTCCAGGATCCTTTTTCTATTTTCCTTTGCCCCATTTGAGTTGGTGATTTGTTTTTAGCTCTTAGGGTAGGTGTGTGGTAACAGATATTAGTTTTAATTTTGTCATTAGTATTTTATTTTTTAATTGTTTCTGTCACGTTAGTAATATTGTGAACCAAAGTGTCATTTATACAATTATTTCCTAATGTTTAGAAAAACCTAACCATTTATGTACTCAGGATATTCCAAAGTGATTTAAAGTAGTGAGGAATCTGTGGAATTCACTGCCCCGTGAAGCAGCTGGGGCTACTTTATTGAATGTTTTTAAGGCAAAGATAGATTTTTGACCAGTAAAGGGATTAAGAGTTATGGTGAGCAGGCGGATAAATGGAGCTGAGTCCACAAAAAGATCAGCCACAAAAAGAGCAGGCTTGACAGGACAGATGGCCTACTCCTGCTCCTACTTCTGATGTTCTTATGTTTCGAGATATAACATATGAGGAAGTGAATTTGCACACAGCATGATCTTACAAGCAATGTGTCATGATAACCAGATAACCTCTTTTAGTGATGTTAGTTAGGGCATAAATATGTATTGGTCTAGGACCCAAACTCTTTGCTGTTCTTCAAAATAGGGGCTGTGGAACATTTAATGCCTACCTCAGAAGGTAGACGGTACCTGAGTGTATCATCTCATCCACGAAGTGACACCTTTGACAGTGTAGCACTCCCTCAGTGCTGCTTTGGAGTGTTAGCCTAGATTTAAAGTGTGAGACTTGAAGCTTAAACCTTTTGATTCCAAGACAAGAATACTGCCAAATGAGACACTGAAAATAAGAAACACCCAATAATGCTTCTCAAGCAAATGAAAGGAAATGGATGTTCATCCTGGAAGAGAGAGTTTTAAACAGAGATAAGCTTTGTGAGGGTTTTCCAAAGATTGAGAGAATTTCATGTTCACTCCTCTATTTGTGACCATGATCTGATTTCCACATCTGAAAAGATCAAATAAAGGTTTCTTTCTACACAGGTACTGGATCAAAAAATCGTAGGACACCAGATTGTAGTCAAACAGGTTTATTTGAAAATGCAAGCTTTTGGAGCTCAGCCCCTTCCTCAGGCGTAGTGTGAGAGTAGGAAGAGGCTGAGCTGCGAAAAATTGTGTTGGACTATTACCTGGTGTCCTGTGATTTTTGACCTTGTCCATCCCAGTCCAACACCGGCATCTCCACATCATGGTTACACAGGTAGTGGGAAATGAAGCAAGATATATGGTTCGGAATCAGCTTAGGGGCAGTCGTGACAGATATAAACTGACATCTAGAAAGACACTGGTCCTGCTTAGTTGGAGATTGCATGAAATTTAATGTTTTAACGAAGATCTGTAGCTCGGGTTGCGATTGGAGTTGTTGGTTGGTTCGCCGAGCTGACTGGTTTTCATGCAAACATTTCGTCTCTGTTCTAGGTGACCTTGTCAGTGCTGCGTAGCCTTCGTTGAAGTTTTGTTATTCTGTCCCACTCTGAATTTATGTGGTTTGGTCTGTCATGATGTTTCTCGCAGTTGATGCATGGTATTTTATATATCACATTTGTCCTGCTCATTGTGGCTATGGGGTCTTTCATTTTTGAGAGTAACTGGCGAAGTCTGGCTATTGGTTAGTGTGCTATCCTTATTCCAAGAGGTTGTAGGAGTCTTATGGTCAGTTCTGATGTGTTTCTAATATAGGGTAGGGTGGCCAGTGTGTTGGGGCGTACCCTACCCAAGGTCAATACCATGGAGCAACTGCAAGAAAAACTACATAGGACAGACGGGTGAAACTTGCCACCAGGATACATGAATGCCAAATCGCAGCAAAACGGCACGACTAACTTTCACTCGTTTCAATACACTGCAACATAAAAGGATATCAGTTTAACTGGGACGAAGTTACAGTACTAGGACAAGCAAGACAAAGACAAGCACGAGAATTCCTGGAGGCCTGGTTTTCAACCACCGATGCAATTAACAAACATGTTGAAATAGACCCCATCGACATACCACTACGGTACAAAACCGGAAACAAGACTGCCTACCATGATAGACCGAACCATATAAATTCTGAGCAGGACAGAACAACAACACTTCAACGGAGGCTACACAGCACTGACAATGACACCTAGAAGGAAGACGAAACGTTTGCATGAAAACCAGTCAGCTTGGCGAACCAACCAACAACTCCGACTACACGAACTAACAGTCATTCAAGATGAAGAATGGAGGTGGGATAATGGGTGAATGTGCTGGACTATCATTCAGTTAGTTTTGGGAAGCAGGAAGTATTTAAACGGAGTCACAGTTTGAGATCAAGTAGTCACTTTGAGCTGATGACTGTCTACAAACTGCAAATGAGATGAATAACCGGTCAGCCTTTGTTTTGTTTTGATATTTTGGTCTTAAGTCCTTGTAGTAATTTGAATGTTGCCAGGGGAATATCTGTGTTTGCCTGGAGAATCTTGGTCCTAACCAAATGGCAACACTTTGAACAGTGAAGCATGCCTGCGGCACTGAAGTGCTTTTTTTAAAGTTTATTGGAAAGATCTGGTTGTCAGCCTTGAGCGTAGTAAATAAAATTATACTTTTCCTTTAAAGCATCCTGCACAAGTAACAATAGAGTCTGTAGCTCCAAGGCGATCAGTCAGATGATCTCGCAGCAACAGTTCAGGAGTAAAAAAAGGCTGAGAGAGGGTGACTGGATGAAGTGTAACTTTGCACTGCCTGTGGGTGGGGCTGTGTTTATGCACCAGGACCACAGGCTGTATATAAAGTGAGTGATGTAAAACAGTCTGGCACATATCTCAAAGCTCTCCTGCACTTAGTTAGGGAATAGGAAATATGACAGGGACTGAGAGAAGGGAGCAATAAAGACAGATTTCTTTAAGGAGAAGCGGGGAAAGTACCTGATATATTTGGAAAGCTTATATGTGAAAAGAGGAAAGGAAATTTGCAGCAAATCCACAGAGAAACATATTTAAACAAGCTATATAGTGAATTAGAGCCACAGTGATATATTTGTATAGGGTGCAAGACGAAGTCAACAGGGATTGCAGTGAGGAAAAGGCAGAAGGAAAGCTCATATAGATCTGCCAAGAACAGATATAGAAGACAGATATACAAGATTTTTTGTTCGGTTAACTAAGAAGCAGAAATAAAATTTTAAAAATCAGGTGGAGAGAGAAAACAAGGCAGCGGAGCAAGGAGCTTCAATAATAAGGGAAGGAAACACTTAGCACAATTGTGCTACTGTTCCAGTGAACATCAAGCTCCCTGACTCTAGCATACTCTGCACCCTTTGAGTCAGGGTTATAAACACTCTAGGCAGGTCATTGTAATTCTTCGGATGGAGTGAAAGGTCTAGGATTATGAGGATCATGATTGCCAGATGCTGCTGATTTAACATTTGTTTATACCCATGGCGCTAAACAGATTCTGCTTTGTGCTCTACCTACTCATTTTGTGGAAAGGTAAGGAACAAGTTTTTTTCCTTTTCCCCCTCGCTCTCTCTCCCACCTTCTTTTTGTGTCCTTATATCACTTTGCTTTTTTACCCCTTTCACATTTTTTTCTTGTTCCATCTCTGTCAGTCATATCCTTTCCTCAAATGTTTTATTCTCAGGAAAAAGAAGGAAAGAGAATGAGAAAGAGTGATATAAAAGTGACAGGGCTGCTACAGGTAGCCCACACAGCAAAGGAATGGTGTGACACTTGTGATATGTGGTGTAATTTCTTTGGGTTCTTTCACTGTACTGCTTCTTTCTATGGTGTTTTTCTTGTATAAGTTCAATAGGATAAGGATAGTTTTATTTCAGTGATTGACCTTTAACAAAGAGAGTGTGTGCCAGTTGCAGGGAGTAACTGAGCTGCAAGGTAGAAAGATCCAGGTTGATTTGATTGGAATAGGGTTTGGCTGAGAGAAGTCATTGAGGGTCACTTGAATGAACGTAAAGAGACATGTTCTTGGGTTTTGCACAGTATCAGCGACTTGTACCCATGCAGTTCCTTTAATGTTATAAAGCTCCACAGAATCGTAATTAAGCAATATTCTGACACCAAGCCATTTAAAGAGACACTAAGGTAGATAGGAACATAGGAACAGGAGGGGGCCATTCAGCCTGTCAAACCTGCCCCACCATTTAGAGTCATAGATAGAGTCACACAGTTACATTGAACGGAAACAGACCCTCCGGTCTATTCTGACCAAGTTTCCCAAACTAAACTAGTCCCATTTGCCTGCATTTGACCTATATCCCTCTAAACCTTTCCTATTCATGTACCTGTCCAGATGTCTTTTAAATGTTGTAACTACACCTGCATCTACTACTTCTTCTGGCACTTCATTCCACATATGAACCACACTGTGTGTGCAAAAGTTGCCCCTCATGTCCCTTTTAAATCTTTCTCCTCTCTCCTTAAAAATATGCCCACTAATATTGAACTCCCCTAGCCTAGGGAAAAGACCTTTGCTATTCCTGTTATCTATGCCCGTCAATATTTATAAACCATGGTTGATCGAAGGCCTCAGTGCCTTTTACTCACCTATCGCCATAACCCTGTAAACCCCACATTCCAGTCTGCCATGGCCCATGCCAACTTTGCCCATGTAATGTTCTGCTGTCCATCTCATTCATTTTGCAATTGGCCTTTTCAGTGTCCATCAAACGCAGACTCGGTTTGCGGAGCACCTGCGCTGTGCATGGACCAACCTACCTGACCTTCCGGTTGCCATCCACTGTAACTCCCCCTCCCATTCCCCTGGTGACATGTTCATCCTTGGCCTCCTCCACTGTCGGAGTGAGGCCAAATTTAAACTGGGGGAACAACACCTCATGTTTCGCCTTGGGAGCTTACAGCCCAATGGCCTGAATATTGACTTCACCAGATTCAAAATCTCCCCACCCCCAACCTGTCCATCTTCCTACTCAACTATCCGCTCCACCCTCCCCACTGACCAACCATAATAACCCCCTACCTGCACCCACCTATCTCCATCCCACCTCCCCCCCCCCCTGCCCCAAACCCCTCCTTCTATTTATTTTTGGTCTCCCTCCCCCTCCCCCTCTTCTTACCCCTCCCCAGTCCGTTTCCAGCTCCACAATTATTGCATCTTGGGACTGTGCAGCAGGAGAGGCGAAATTCTTTTCTGCTGCTGGGATTTTGTGATGTCCATGCCACTAGTGTCATATTTAATCAGCAGCAGTGCACCACTTCAGACACCACAAGTCAAGAACAGCTCCTCACATGGTGGAACTATACTCCCCTGTTATTGCCAAGATCATAGCCCAGGAAGGGATGCTAACACCCCATTTCACCAACAGGAAATGACCTGGTGGTGGAAAGGGGGTCAGTGCTGTTTCCTACTGACTGGCAAAGGAGACCATGTCACCAAATTCAGCCAGTGTGGAGTGGGATAGCAACCGGCATCAGTACAGTGTCCGAGACGAAATGCAGTCCCCCTCAATCCACTCGAAACTGGTCCCCTTTGATGTTTAGACACGGCAATTTTATTAAAGCACATGCTGTGTCTTTTGCCACTTAAGCTGTAGGTGTAATATTGACGTGGCATGGTGCTGAACAGGAACATGTTCACCCCCTCAACTGTTAAGTACACTAAGCTGTGACAAGCCACTGCTTTTCCGAATGTGTTAAAAAAGCACTGCACATCCTGGAGGCTGGCACGTTCCAATTAAGTGCGAAATGACTGAGCATTATAAAATGAAACTAAGAGCCATAAGATGTATCCTATGTCTGTGTCCCTGAACGCAAAGTGACCCAGGAAGAAGTTTGCAAGTCACAAGTGCCCTTGAGCTCCAAGGTGAAGACCTGAAGGGCCGAGCTGGACCAAGACCAAGTGGGACAATGTGGTCAGGTTGGTGGTTTGCTGATTGAGGAGCCGGCAGGGTCATTGTTATGAAGACAGACTTGTATGAAGACCCAGAGCTGGTGCTGCCATGTAACTGCCTCAACTTCAATGTTGGCAAATGGTGCCAACTGTTTACTTGTGGGTGGAGAGGAGAATCAGGGACACCCCATGGAAATAAGGCGAGTTTAGCTAATAATGAGATGCAAATGTGTGGCAATAAGGAAATCATTGCTGATTAGCAGATTCTGAACTCACAGTCTAAACCTTAAGGGGAATATCATCTTTTTTTCGATGTCAAGAATCTGAATTTTTCACTTTCAGTTTGTTTCCCCAAATTTCTCACCACTGTCCATGCCGCTAAAGACAGCGGAAAATTCTGCCCAGTGAGGATCGGAGAGAATTGCAAAACCCTGCTGCCTATGTCCGCACTGACAGCTCTCCTGTTACTCACTCATCAGACCTATTCTCACTGACCCAGATTAGCTCCCAATTGCTCTCAGAACATAAGCAGTTGCAGCTTGTCATGAGGTTAATTCATTTGTGTTTTCACCAAACCCTACAATTTTGGTAATTTTCCTTCCACCACTCACTCTGCGGGTAGTATTTGTGACTAGGTGGAGTACTTGGGAGGGAATTGCAGAATTTAGGGCTTTGGCAGCTGAAGGTGCAGTACCTAAAGCTGGTGGTATTCAAGAATTTGAGGAAGAGTGATATTTTAGGGCTGGAGGAGATTTCAGAGTTAGGAAAAGTCTCTGAAGGCTTTGTGAGAATAGGGGATAAGGAATTGTGAGCCACTGTAGGTCAGTGTGCACAGGAATGTCAGGGGAACTGGATTTGTTGTGAGTAAAGACATGGCAGCAGGGCTTTGGATTACCTCAAATTTATGACATAGTAAGAAATGGCTAGGAGTGTGCTGGAATATAGTCTAGGAATAGTGAGGACTTGGGTGAAGATTCCAGTGCAGAAGAGCTAAGGGAGGGTCCTAGAGTTTGCTGATGTCATGGTGGTGATCTTAGTGCTAGACCAAGCATGTGGCTGGAAACTCATCTCCAGGTTAAATATGACAGCAAAGTTATGAGCTAAAGTTGGTTTGGCCTTACTGATAATGCTGAGTTATTGCCTATCATAAAATGTACAATCAGGTGTTGGTGGGCTATCTGGAATTGTTGCTGGGATTGGTGTCCATGCTGTCAGGTCAAGAATTTTAAGTTGTGGTTAAGTAGTGATGATGATGTCTATCCAAACCAGAAAGGTTTGTGGTTTTCTCAAAGATCACTTCTCTTGCTCATTCTATTGGTGGAGGTCATTGTGCTTGGAACTAACAGTGGAATCTTATAGATAGCTGTGAGAAGTCAAGAGGTGAGCTTGTTGCTGTGAAATATTCACGTGTGTTCTGCTGTTGAGCTGTGTTACGATGGCCTAAATAAACATTTGCTTTTCAGTGACACACGATAGTGGGAGGCTCGTCAATGGTGATACATTGGAAAGGCCTGAGCCAAACAAATGTAATATTTCTTGCACATGTTTTGTAGATGGAAGAAGATTAACAGTACAACCTATTCAAAATGCTTCCTCCATCAGCCATGAAAATAAATAGCTGCAGCTTTACTTGTTAGGAGATGAATATATTTTGTGAATTCATGTAAACCTGCAATTTTGGATTTTTTTTTCTCCTAAAAAACCACTCTGATAGCATGGGTAACTGGGAGGGGTTGCCAGTATGATGCAATAACTATTCATATCATTGGTACGCAATCTCCAGATTGTGCAGTCTGTGTGCTGACTCAAGCAATACAGGGTCCACCTAACGCTCGAATACTACTGTGAGAAAATGAGATAGTGTAGATGCTGGACATTTAGATTTAAAACAGAAAATGTTGACGATACTCAGCAGTTTAGCGATGGAGAGAGGATAAGAGCTAAAGTTGAGTCGTAGAGTCACACAGCATAGAAACCTACCCTTCAGTCCAACTAGTCCATGCCAACCATAATCCCAAACTAAACTAGTCCCACCTGCCTGTGCTTAGCCCATATCCCTCCAAACACTTCTGATTCATGTACTTATCTCAATGCCTTTTAAATGTTGTAACTGAACCAGTACCCAACAGTTACTCTGGAGTTCATTCCACACACTAACAATGCTGTGTTTAAAAACAAAATTGCCCCTTGTGTCTTTTTTTTAAAATCTTTCTCCTCTTCACCTTAAAAATCTGACGCCCTCGTCTTGAAATCCCCAACCGTAGGGAAAAGACACCTACCATTCACCTTATCTATATGTACCCCTCATGATTTTTTAAACCTCTAAAGTCACCTGTCAACCTCCTATGCTCCAGTGGAAAAAAAAACTCCCAGGCTATCCAGCCTCTCCTTATAACTCAAACCCTTTATTCCCAACAACATTCTGGTAAATTTCTTCTGTACCCTCTCCAACTTAACAGGGTGACCAGATCTGCACACAGTATTCCAGAAGAGGCCTCACCAACGTCCTGTATGACCTCAACATAACATCCTGACTTTTATACTGAAAGATCTGAGCAACGAAGGCAAGCGCGGTAAATGCCTTTTTAACCACAGGAGTCTTGGAACTTACCTCCTGAAAGGGTGG